GTTCACTAAATTTTCTCATGTTGGCTCGTACCCGTAGATTGTATATAAAGAAAGAGGATGGTTTTATGAAACTTGAGTGGAGTATGATAGTAGGAGGTGAAAGGTGCCAGCTAATTGTGATACACTCTGCGGGAAGTCACGCCAGTGTGTGCGAGTTTTTATTTCTTCTTTTGTCATAAGTATACTCTATTTTTTTCTCATTTCTGGTTAAAACTTTCAGTTTATTACGTTACCTTATTTAATACATATATTTACATATAATTCATGTAATTTTCTAAAAGATTTTTTCGATCTTCATTATATTTAAAAGTTTTATTTCGCAAAGTTTACGGGCCTGATTCACGAGTTGTCTTCGTTGAAAAAGAAAAACTATTAAAAAGAAAAGAAAAAAAATCTTTGTAGAAATACTAATCCTCTATTTCTCTTTCATGTCACGTGACTCTTCTTCATCTTTCATTAAAGTTCAAAGGCGTTTCGGAAGTTTATATTCACAGTTTCTCATTGTTGTGTAAATGTATGAATGTGCAATGAAGCCACGACAAAGCAGATGTTCAAGTTTTAATACTGAAAGAGATTTCATATAATTTACACTTCCTCTTTTTCTCTATATACATAAAATATAACAGATATATATAAATATATGTAGAAAATAAGTAGTTTTAAAAATATTAGCTTGTGTAAAAGAAAATATTGATATTAAATAAATTAATATATCAAAATCTCTAGATGAAATTAGAAAGTCGTGCAATCGGCATCTTGAAATTTTTCTAGGACGACCGTGTGTAAGCAAGGTAGGTCAGGGTCTGATTGCAGGAAGGAAGCAGTTAGGCCCAGTTAAAGTCGTTAAGCCAAGTTTACGAGGTGTTACCGGGAGCGTAACCTGTAAATCTCAAAGGCAGTTGAGAGAGAGAGAGAGAGAGAGAGAGTGAGAGAGAGTGCGCGTGCCAGTGGCCGCCCTTGGAAAGGCCGCGGAAGGGGTAATGGATATAACTGGGATGTAAGAACGGAGGTAAGACTACTTGAGCGCCATAAACGCTTTTATGGATCGTAAAACGTCTTCCTTTACAGCCAATAAAGATCCCTGACCTATCCGTTTGGAAGGCAAACGGATAAGTAATCGCGCGCGAGAAGAGACGGTGATCGCGCATCGATCTGTCGAAAATCACGCTTTAGTACGCAATAAAATCACGCAGCGCCGGTACTTTATTTCCTCTTCATGGGACCGAGAGTCGCAGGTTTATTGGATTATTGACCGATAGCTCCGGGAATGCATTCGCGGGGAAAATGTGAATAGCTCTGCCGACTCAGCGGCGCGCGTTGGTACGAACCAACACCGATGCCAACATGCGCGTATACACGGGCGCGCTATGCGCCGATTCGACCCACCACGCCGAGAAACAGGAAGGTCGTGAATTACTATATAACCACGTCGATAAAAACAAACCATAAAGCGCATTACGGGCGATCATCGAACTACCGTTCAATATATCCTGCTTGGTGGGTAGAGACAATCTCTAAATTAAGTTATGTACCGATTGAGAAGTCGGTAGAGCAGGCAGCGTGTTACCGACTGCCTTGCGCCGGTTTGTGCTGCCACCTGCTGTAAAAGTAGTTAAGCAGCTGCAAAACAAGTGCCTATCGCGGAGTACTACACGGATCAATTCAAAATTTAAATGTTTCTTCTTTGCGTATTTCGCGTGCTTTTTGTAAATTTACTAGACCTTAATACGATCAAAAGTAATGAAGAAATGAAGTTTTATGATTTTATGTCGAAAAATATCAAGAATTTGTTTTAATAACTCAACTAATGCCAAAAAATAAATGTCTATCTTGGCCACGCCCACAAATCAAAGATAAAATATGACTACTCTAGAAATTTTCGAAATCCATGGCATTCATTATCTTTACTAAACTCACATATATTGTACGATACATGCAGTATCATATTTATATATAAACTGCGCATTTATGTAAGTATAGAAATAAAAAAAATTATATATAAATAAAAAAAATATATAAAATTAACTTGAATTAGATCGACCAATTTTTGACTACTTGAAAATATCAAGGTAAAATTTGGATTTTGATAATACATAAACGTAATTAAGTTTCAAAAAAAATATATATTTAACAAAAAAATATATATTTAACAAAATATATATTACAATAAAACATTATTTTTTAACGAATATAATAACACAACGTCCGCATTCGATTTTACCTTAACAAAACAAGTGAGTTAATCATCCGATGTCGTCGCGACTGTTTTATGGTATACAACTATACGCCGACCGTTGAAGCCCTCCTAAATTGCTTTTTCATGTTCACTGTCAAAATTTATCTTCGCGTATATCTAGATCGGTTCACGGACGCAGGACCAACATTTTATTTTATTTTTATTTTTTTTTTTCAGGTAACGCACGGAGAATTGCGATTCAGTTTTACGAAATTCTTGGCACGACCTTATTTATAATGGCAAATATTATTTCTTCATTTGTAAACTTGCCTCAGCAACATTATTCAAATTAGCAACATTATTCAAATAGAAAGATATATAATTATAAAAAAAACCCAAATGTGTAACACACACCGTATAATTATTAAAAGAAGTAAAATATTAATTACAAGTTACGGCCTAGATTACCATATAAAAATCACATGCGTGTGTCTCTGAATGTCGTGTAGAAACTAATAACGACCCTATTTTAAGAATGCGGTTACCGCGATAGTGTCGGTTACCACGGGTGATTAAATAAGCGCGATTAAATAAATATCATCAAGCCGTGACGTTATTTAATCGTGATTCAAGTGGCGTACAATTACGGCGCAATCCACGGAGTTAATCGGAGAATCGCTCCGGTGCCGTAATATTACGTGCCGTCACAAGAGACAAAATTTATATCCGAACTTCTTCGTTGCCCGAAGATATCAAAAAAGAGATATTAAGCGCTCCAGTAGAATCCGACGCGAATAAGAAATTTCTCAATCGGTAGAATTTACTTATTTTATACATATATTCCTTTTATATATATTTCTTTTCTCTCAATAATATTTTACTACTAATAAACATTTAATAGACTAATATGTTATTTTTTAGCAATAGTTTTCTATATTTTGTTTCCTATAATTTATACGTAAATTATAAAAAATATAAAGCAAATAAACTTACTTTTGTGAATTGTATACATAAATTATACACGTACTTTCTCGTTATACACACACATAAGATGCTTGAGTTTTAGACAATGCATATTTTCAGGTAGAATTTGTTATGAATTAAATACCGTTATTTTAAGATCTGACGTTTCCTCAAAGAGACAGAAAAAATCGTAAATGAAAACCCTACTTTTGTGTAAGTATGGATATAACGGTACCGTTTTTTACGATCAATATATTATTTTTTTTACGATCAATAACTTACTGTCCCGAACCATTCAAAGTCGTTTATCTTTTCAAACTGAAGTTTTGCTTTTTAACCAAAAACCGACAAACCGGATTTTTTTAAAATAAGTCAGCAGAATGTTGGTGCATTCTTCTTACCTAACCACATATCATTTTCTTGTTTATGACATTTTATTTAATTTTATATGATCTGTCACTTTTATATATTTTTCTTTGTGTTTCTTTCTTTGTGTACGATTGACATTTTTTCTCAAATAAAGTTTTAATTTTGCTATAAAAGTTACAAAACCTTAACAATTGTTTGTTTTATGGATTTTTTTAGAGAAGTAATAAATCTCAATCTTATTAATTATACACAATACAAAAGTAGTGAGATCAATAAAAAAAATAATTTATATACATCTGTAGCTACGATGACAAACTAAACGCAACGTAATATTTCAAGTTTGCATCCCCTCTCGGGATGCACGTTCAACGCAAGTTAAATACACGCGAACAGCATAACTTAGAAAATTATGAAAGCACGCTTGCACGCGGTTTATCCTCATTAAGCCCGCCGACTAAACTTAATTTTAAGGCCGCTGCTGCTAAAAGCTTGAATCTCATTTTTAACGCCAGGTTTAACGTTCATGCGACTATCATTGTTTTAGTGCATAACTTATAATCCTAACTGTTGCATCAACAGCGTGTGCGTTTTTTACTTCACAAACAGTGCTAGATTATGCAATTCAGAAACGAGTCTAAAACACGTACAAAGTGTCTAAAACTTTTTGACACAGACGAAGATAGATTGTCACCTTGAACAGAAAAGTCATGCACAGTTTACAGTAGTTATTAAGATATTAATTAATTACTCTGAGTTAATGAGCACGTAAGAAGCGATAGATCTGATTCTATAGAATACGTGTATAAAAAACCGTACGATTTTCAGTAAATCAATAAATCAATATCAGTTGATAGAGAAAAGCCGTGCCACACATCGCTCACCAATTCTCTGGCTCTCGTTGCTAGAAGATTATTACAAAGATTATTAAACAATTTTTCATTTGAAAATCACATAATTTTATATACACTTACAAAATCAAGCTCACCGTTTCTCACACGTTCATTAGTTTAAATTAATTAATTAATACTTATTATACAAAGTTTGCAAAACTATATGACTTTTTAATCCAGATTGACTTAATCTATCTTTACATTTTGGCTGTGTCAAAAAGTTTTAGATATTCTTTTTCGAATACAATAAGCGAATATAATGCATATTTATCAGAAAATGATACCTTTGTGTAAATGCAATAACAAATTTTTATTTTAACGACTACAAAAACCAGTTACTGGGTAATGCCAAATTAATATCTTTAATGAACAATTAACCAAGACGTTTTGACTTTATTTGAAGTTTATACTTAGTTAAGGTACAAATTCTTTAATAACGACACATTCTGTACAATTTCACTTATGATAGAGATTTTAAGAGAGAAAATAATATACTTAATACAAAATCTACTTTAACATATTTTAAAATCACATATTTATTACATGGAAAAGTAGTTTATATTATTTTTTACATATATTATTTGCAGGAACAAATACACACATTCCTTTTACACTAAAAAGTATTATCGTTATAAGTAAAAAATAAAGACTGCTAAAGTAAACTTTTGTTTTATTTTTGTCAATCGATCATTCTTTTTGACAATCGATTGTTTCTTAACAATGTCAAGATAAAACAAACTATGTACTTTAAAAACTTAGGAATCAAAACATCATCAAATAACATCTCTACCTACTCACCTTTAATATAGCTGTGTACATTGCGGTGCTAGTAGAGGGTGATGTGGATTGGCGGCGGGGTGGTCAGGGGGGCTCCGATGCAGGGCGTACCCCTAGTTGCCCCCCTCTGGACCCCCGCCGCCCCCTTGCTGCTGATGCGCAGCCGCCGCTGCCGCTGCCGCCGCCTTTTGCGCCTGCGCTTGCTTTTCTTGCTCGTTCAGTTCTTTAATCGCCTGGATCTCTTTCTTCAGCTTCATTCGTCGATTTTGGAACCAGATCTTGATTTGCCGTTCCGTCAGGCAGAGCGCGTGTGCCATCTCGATCCGCCTCCGCCTGGTGAGATAGTGGTTCGTGTGGAATTCTTTCTCCAGCTCCAGAGTTTGATAGCGGGTGTAAGTTTGTCGGCCACGCCTGCGCATTCCGTTCGCTCCTGTAAATCAAATCCCAAAATCAAAAGTTACAGCAGGTTTTGTTTCTCCTTTTTTTACTGCTATGTTTACTAAACATAGCAGTAAAATTATAGTCAAAATTTTCCAAGGTCTTTTTACTCAAATATTTGATCAATTTATAAATAAAACTGTTTTTAAATAATTTAACAATACGAAAACTATACGATGACAGATACAAAACCTTTAATTTAATATTAATAAAATTTATTTTAATTTAATAAAACTTTGAATCGCAAAAGATAATACATAAATATGTATGTTATGGCATAACGTAAAAAAATACTTAAAAAATGGTCTCTCCAAAAACACGAAAGATTAATTTACAAGTAATATTGGAGGTAAGTAGGTACACAGAGATAAGTATATAGGAAAGACACTCTCTAATAAGAACAGAGTGTGCAGAGTTTGTCGGCTCGTCAATCCACTCCGGCTTCTTATCTTGTTCTAAAGCGAGTTGTTATCTTTATGAGCAGCTGCTTAAGATACTTATTAAAAGAACATTCTAATGAATTTCAGGTGCCCCGCAGCGCCTTGGAGTTGCGAATATCAGCACCGCGGCGTTATAAATGAAACTCGTGCCGATAAAGGAAATGTGTAAATGGCTTAAAATAAAGCGTGGCGTGAGCCGTTTCGAACAAACGAGAGAAAGTAAAAGAGTATACGACAGCGAATAGGTACTGTTGAGCAGTCACTTGGGTACAGTAGCGGAGTAAGCCCCGCCAGTGGAGGCGCAAGCTCACCTTATCGGCCATTACTGCCTCGTAAAAACCTTCCCGTTTCACCTCTACCACCGGTATCCAACCTAAACCGACCGCTCTTCCCGATCGTAAGCAGTATTCCTTTTACTCGCTTTTTCGTCGCATACGGTGCGCGCCCAAGTGCATAAATATCCATAATATTACGATTTTTGCTTTTCCCCGATTTCTTCCGTATCCGCGACTTGAAGCAGTCTTTACAAAATGTGAAATGAACTAATGGCCGAGATTACTGTGAAAACAATTATTTTATATTTTTGCTACGCAATTTATTTAATACCTGCCGACAAATATTGACGGTTAATTTAATGATATCCTGTATTTATTTCGGAAGTTTCAAGTGCCGCGAATCCTCTCCAAGCACTCGCCATTTGATAAAAATTGAACACCGCTCTTTGCAGTTATATGTTTACGGATTAAGAAAAATGAGTTTGTTTTCAAATAACACGCAGCACAGAAACCTCTTTTATAGAACATATATATACATTTCGCTTTCCGACGCGCAAAACTCACTTTACTCGTTTCGATTACAAATCTAGGTGTCCAATAAACGCTTCAATTGTATCTCTACTGATCTGTTATCAATAAAACGCACACAAAGTGACACGATGCGTTGTTCACGTGTGTACACTGCGCACACGCTGTCGCAATTCCAGACTACTATTGTATCCCTATCATATAACGCGCCACACTGAAACAAAGTTTATGTCAGCGCGATGTTTATTATCGCTTTGTAATCAAGTGGCTTGCCGCCCGAGCTACTATCCCTCCGGCTACCTCTTTTCGCCCCCTTTCGCCACCCTATGACATCCCCACGATATTCTCATGCCAGGTTGTCACGCCTGGCTCGCGTTGAATAGAGGGGCGTGGGATTGCTGTGCAACGTTTTTAACAGTTATTTGTTGCACGGACCCCGCGTCGAGTCTGCTTCCCTTCTATCTCAAAATCTCTATCAAACTTTTCCCCCTCACACTTTGGCTGTAACAAAATTATTCTCCATGTCTCATTGGCACGCGCCATCTTGAAGCGTGTAAGAAACACTGTCAAAATACCGACAATTTGGAATTATTAATGATTATACATCATCTTTATTTCACATTTATTGCATACGGATAATTAAAAAAATAAGAGAAATGTCTACATGCGTATACACCCTCGAGTTTGCGTGTTTCTAACTCGCAAAATTACTGGATCTCATCTCCCATCACGTCTCACGCATGAGATATCGCGATCTAAACCAAATTAAAGGATGAAATATCAAGATTATCTTATCCCCTCTCTCACAAAGTAAAATGAGGTGCGCGTGGCTGTTTAACTCTGGGGGATGAATTTATACTGAGATCTTAAAATGCTTTCATTTGAAGGAACAAAGAAGATCGGCAAGACATTCCGGGAGAGATTGGTTGGCTGAACAGCAAAGCGGGAAAAACCCGTGGAGCACGTTTAGAACAGCGAAAAATATTTCGGTCGTTACTCACGCCTTTCTTGAAAAATGCTTGCCCGTATATTCTAGAAAATTTCAACCCCACGCAAACCCGTCGCACCTTCGTCCAACGAATTATTGTTTCAAAAGTCTAAGTTATAACAAAAAAATTTCGAGAATTACATCTTTTAAGCAAGGTAAACTTTTCTTGTTTTATATCTTTTCCGAAGTTCGTGCTTTACTACCGTGAAAAATGTTTTTCGCTATAAAACGTATAGAAAAAAAAAAGTCCAACAAAAGAAGGATATTGGAAGAATTGAAACGTGAATGACTAGAGATAATTTTGCCAAACAATCAAATGCTTCTTTCGGCTCGTTGAGAACAGCTTCAAATGCGAAGGGGAAATGCCGGTTGAAAGAGATCTGCCGGGTTTCGACGTATTCGGCCATAAACTGAGGTAGGGACCGACTTAAACTGGTTGCCAACTCTAACAAGAACAGCCAATACGTTGATTGCTGCTGGGGATTTGCCGATATAACTTTGCAAAACACGATGCCGGAGCTTTCGGTAACCCTCACTCCTTTTCCGTCTCTCCCTCGAATACCGTGCGCGCATATAACGGAGTCGAATCATACGCGAGACCAATCAAATCAAAGTAAGTGAATTGGGTCCATGAAGAACTTCCCGGACTTCCTCCTGAGATATTCCCCGTAGGCTTATTCCCTTGAGTTTCCACAACGTTGAGCAGTTTTTGTACGTAAACTATACATCACGCATGACGGATACGCTCGTGTTTCTACATTAGATAATACTTAGTAAGTCCTACAAGAACACGTTACATAGAATGCATTTTACGGATTATATCTGCAAAATAAAATTTATATCTGGCATACTTGATGTATCGATCTCGACTAAGTTGACGGCTTTTTTATATTTTATAAATCCGTGCACCAAGATATGAATCGTATTTGAATAACATCTCTTTATGCATACATTATAACTTAGCTAAATTAAATTGCTTTGTTATTTCCGTTTAGGCTCGTTTCCAGCGAGCATTCTGCAACAATATTCCGTCTCATTTGAAGTGTTATAGTCTGTTCACGTATCACCAGTTTTGGCCTTCCGGCACCATCCGGAACGCGCTTACGCTCTCGCGAAGAACCCTGTTTGCACGCGGCACGGGAGTACCGAGGACACTTGGTATGAGGAACGCGTAGCTACGCAGCAAGATCGTAGCTCAACGTGGGATATACCCTCCTCCAGCCTTGCCAAGGTAGGTAATCCTCTCGGGGGCGTGAGTTACTGCCTAGCGTCCCTCGCGCTCTACTCTCTTCTCTCCCACCTTCTTCCATACCTTCTAGGACCCCTCTCCGCTCCCTACGTTTCTCCTCCTTTCACATTCTACCAGGACCTTCGTCTCGTTTCTACCGGGGCGTCTCCTTCCCCACCTTACTCTCTCTTCTTATTCTCTTTCCTCTCTTAGGGGGCTGTCGAGAAAGCACCGGGAGAAAGTTGGAGGACGGTTGGCGGACGAAGGGAGAAGGTAAGATGTTGCTACGTGGCACAGCTGGAGCGCATTAGTCAACCGTAATTAATAAGTTATATACAACAGAGACTAACGAAGAGCGCGGCGTTACACCGCCGACGTCGTCTCTCAGAAAGGGAGAAGGAGGCAAACGCGCGACCTCTCCGGGGTGTGACGACGGAAACCACGACGACCGTAAATACATGCTAAAAACCTGTGGACATAAATAAACCAGGGTTGACGCTCGCAAATGAGGAACAGCAAAGACACATATTTCTTCAATAGCTACCAAGTACGACTAGTGGTCAGACAGAATCGCTTATGGAAGTCACGTGTCGTAAATGTGTCTAATAAGCACGATATTCTTTTACGCCGAATGCAAAGCTAATGAGTAGATCCAATTAGAGTTGCCGAATATCAACTGTGATAATATCTGTGAAGAGAAGTTAGCATTACTCAGAGTTATTTTTGGAACTACGCGAGACTCATAAACGAGTTAAATATGTCGCGTGTTTATAAAACAGCTCGTTATTCGCGCGATGAAGCTGTCACTTTAATTATTTTTATAATTAAGAATATTTATTGTCTACGGGTTAGATGTGCAAATTCGAAGATGAAGTTTTCGTAACCACTAGCTCTATCATCAACAATCAGAACCCTCGGTAAAATGAAATAGAGTACGTCGAAGAAATTATGCGTTGCGGACAGGAATGTCATCAACAGTGAGTAGGATGTGCTATAAGAAGACCGAATGGAGCTGTAGTCCACTCGAGAATAAGATATCGGCTTTACGTGCAAGCACTTTTGAATAAGCGCGCAACTACGCCGCGGGCAAGGTGGCGATTTCACTCCCACGCAAACAGCGTTTCGTAATGAAAGAGATAACCAATATTTTCGTAATACCAAACATCTACAGATCGTTTCCGAAATTTATCCGCTCGTAGATTATCTACTTTTGCATTTTTAATTCCAAGAAATTCAGAGTTTACTTCTTCAAACAAAAACGAATAATACAGAGTATAATAATGATTCACTTTTTTTTTTGTTAAGTAAAAGAAACTATTACTAATAGCATATCACGTAACTGCAAACGTTTTATTCGAGCTTCAATAATTATTTTTTCGCTTGTGATGTCAAAATTCAAGATGGTCACGGAACAATATCGAGAAGCTTTAATTTACGTCCCACGTATATCTCGTAAGACAACAATAACTTAATTACAATTGTGTTCTGATTAATTACAAAAATATTCTGAGACAATATGTATATTTTTTTAAA